TAGACTTTGAAATATTAAATGCATGAGATTATAGAACCATGGTTTCATTAGGATGAGCTTCTATATTATGTAAGAGTAGCTCATTTTGTTTCTCCACAAGAAGTAGATAGGATATGAGATTAGGATGGTACTAAAATTTCATGTTTATATATTGTTGTACAAGTACAACAAATGTAGGAAGAAATGTAGAGAGAATTTTTTCAATCATTTCTTCTTTAGAGATGATTTATCTAAATAACTATAGTTATGAGATAATATAATATATTTCATTGTTGAAAGCATTTAAATTTGAAAAATCCAATATATGTAAATATGTCTAATCATGACGTGTAAGTAGAAGAAAAATAGACTTTTGATGATCAAACATGGATTTAAGATTCTCCTAAAGCTTAGTTGAATCTTCCATTTCTAAATATAAATGTTGTGATGTAAGTACAAGATGACAATAAAGAAAAAAAAAATGCTTTCCAATAGATAGTAAGAAAAATTAAAATACTTACAATAAGAGATTCTTCAAATAGAATTACATGTGAAAGTTTTTTGGTAAATAAATTTACTTTTGTTATTTTTACCTATAATAGATAATTATTTCTATTAACAGTCAATGGTGGAAATAGAAGAGCTTGAAAAAGTTGGGATGCAATGGTGATAGTTAGAAATATAGTAGATGTAATTGAAGATGTTGAAGCATTCATTATAAATAAATAAATAAGGGTCTGCAATGGAGTGTAACAAGGTGCGATATGATGCAGCAGTTGGTAGCAAGATGTAGTAGATAGTGACAAGATGTAGGAGATGGTAGTAGGGTATGGTAGTTAGTGGCAGGATGTAATAAGCGGCGGCAGGGTGCAGTAGTTCAGCAACAGTATACAATAGTCTATGATAGGATGCAGTAAACTGTGGCAAGATACAATGTTGTGTTGTAACACGATCATATAGTAAAAGATAACAATATGGATCTTATTATAGAAGAGCCAAGTTAAAAGAAAAAGTAGAAAAATATGGATAAAAGATAGGAAGATAGTAAAACTTTTAGTAGTAATGTTGCCCTTTTAAAAAAAATAGCTTCTACTTACTTTGTAGGGCCAAAAATAAGGCAAAATAAGGTATATTAGAAAAATAAATAATATAGACATCTTTAGGAGGAAGTTAAGAGTAAATTCTAATAAAAATTATCTAGAAAAATTAGATATTGATACCCAAAGAGGGCTGGTTATCAACCTAGGTCGAAATCAGACCCTGAGGCACAAAACCGAATACCTATAGAAATTCAAGGGTTCTTTTGCAAATCGAAGAGTGGGATTTGATAGAAAATTAGATAAGGTTTCTATGAGCATTGGTTTTGGGCAATTTGGAGTTGTTATGACTTTGTAAGAGCTTTATAAAGTCAAGATTGTTTTCAGATGACTTGGGAGTTTGTGAAATAAAATAGGATTGATTTTTCTAGTGATTTCAAGAGTTTTGTAATAGATCTATAAGTAAAATTTTGTAGATTAATGGTCATAATTTTTTTTAATATTTTTTGTGAATCTTAGCTCAATCTAACGGTTGAATTGAGGATTATTGAAGTTTAAGTGAATCAAGGTCTCAGAAAGTAGAATTTTAGGTCTAGTGAGGGTTTTTAAGATTTCTTGCAATCCACTAGTTGGATTGGAGTGAAATTTGTGTGAAAGGATATTAGACTTGTTTTTCTATATGTATGAGAATTTTGAGATCAATCGAATAGTGAAAAAAAGAGATATTAGCTCTGGGAGATTGGCATCAAGGTTGGAGAAGGAGGCCGGCCAATACCTAAGCACGTTTTTGAGGTTATCGTCTATTTAGTAATTTCGATCCTTTTCAAAAAATTTGTACTTTTTTTAAACTTAGTTTTTAAGAAGTGTGCAAATTTTGAGTTAAATCAACGGTTCATTCATTAATTATTGAGGTTTAATTCTATTGTAGAAGTTACTAGGGTTTGGTTAGGATTTCATTTAGGATTAGGATTTGATTAGGGTTTAGTTAGGATTTGGTTAGGATTTGGTTAGGGTTTGATTTAGGATTTAGGATTTAGGATTAAAGATTAGGATTAGGATTTGGTTAGGATTTTATTTAGGATTAGGATTTTATTAGGATTTGATTAGGATTTAATTTAGGATTAGGGTTTGGTTAGGATTTGATTTAGGATTAGGATTTGGTTAGGATTTGATTTAGGGTTAGGATTTGATTAGGATTTGGTTTAGGATTTAGAATTAAGATTGGAATTTGATTAGGATTTGATTTAGAGTTAGGATTTGATTTAGGATTAGGGTTTGATTTAGGATTTAGGATTTGATTAGGATTTGATTTAGGATTAATATTTGGTTAGGATTTGATTTAGGATTAGAGTTTGATTAGGATTTGGTTTAGGATTTAGGATTAGGATTAGGATTAGGATTAGGATTTGGTTAAGATTTGATTTAGGATTAGAGTTTAGAGTTTGGTTAGGGTTTGATCAAGATTTGATTTAGGGTTTAGGATTTTATTTGAATTTATTTAGGATTTAAGATTTAGTTAGTTTTTGGCCTAAAGTTTGAATGAAGTAAGATTTCAATTAGGATTAAATTAAGATTGAATTGAGATGTATTTGAAATATGTTTGTAATCATTCTAATATTTCTTTAAGATTTCTTATTGATTCTTTGGAATTCCTTTGAGGTTTCTCTGAATTTGATTAAAGCTTGTTCAGCATTGTTAGTGTTCTATTAGAATTAGGATTTTATTGCTGCAATTTCCATTCTACCTTCCACAACCAGGTGCCCTAAGCATTCTTAAGCAAGACTTCATGTTTTATGTCAACAATGCAACATTGCACCAATATTGCACAATAGTAGCAACAACACAGCAACAACACAACATAACAATAAGACAACACAACAAAAAGGTAAAAGAAATGAAGAAAAAGCAAAGGATAAAGTGCACATAAGTTTTTAAGAATGAAGACTAATGTATAAGAGCAATCATGTTAATAACGTGTTGAGAATATCTAGAGAGACACAAGAGTAGTTAGAAGTAATGTGCACAAAAACACATACACACACAAAAAGGGAGTATATTGATATGGTTATCTATCATATACAAAGAAAAGATGAGAAGATAAATAGTTTCTCTCTATTATATTCAAAACACTGTAGCTACAATAAATGCAATGAGCTTCATCCCACCTTAAAATATATATATAATATTAAAAACAAATGCCAATTGACATCAAAATTTTAATAAGTTGATTTGTTTGTTCTTCTTTGTTTTGTTCTCACCAAACTATTTGTGCATTGTTATTGCAAGGCATTCAACTTCAAATTTCATAATAAACCTTGTCATTGTTATTATCATCATTGTTGTTCTTGTATTAATTTCTTATTACCAAATATTGTTATCATCATAAATTATTTAATACATCATAAAAAAAATCTAATAATTTAATTATCATTTGAATTAAAAAATTAAAAACACATATTTATAAAAAAAAACTTAAATCATATATTGTGCAGTGTATTAAAAAATAAGATAAATTATATATATATATATATATATATATATATATATATATATATATATATATATATATATACATTCTTTATTATAGTCTATTTGTAATAATTGTGAACTAAAATTATTGTATAATATATTTTTAACTTTTTGATTATGTTTATATTTTTAGTCATAATCTTTTTTTATTTTTTTATTTTTTTATGTTTAATAATAAGTATTAAATTTATTTATAATTTATATTTTATATTAGATTTTAATAAAATATCAAATTTTTATATGGCTTATTGGAAACTAGTTTATTTTTATTCATTTAATGTGTATAATTTATTGTGTTTTTTATATGGGTTTTTATTTTTTGTTTATTTTATGTATCTAATTAATATTTTTAAAAAATTATTATACATTCTTAGTTTGTATAATAATAATAATTTTATGTATTAACATATATATGTATATATATATATATATATATATATATATATATATATATATTAAAAAATGTTGATTTTGAGGGTTTATGTAATGTATATTTCATTGCACATTAAATTTAATATATAGTTTACAAAACCTATAAACCATGTTTGTATCACATTTTATTTTTTTATTTTAGTCTTTAAAATAATTAAATAATATGTAATATTTAAAAATTAAAATATTCATTATAAAATCATATGTTATATATATAGAAGAAAATTCATAGTTAATTAGTAAATCTAAAAAAATATTGCACAACTATTATAATTATATAGAATTATATATATTTCTTTTTAAATATTAATTGAACATCAAATTTTAAGTTTGCATGATAAAAATTAAATAATAGTAATAATGATAATAACAAATACAAGAGAATGAAGAAACTTGTAAAAAATATTTTCTTAAGAACACACAAATACAAGTGAATTCCCTACCAACAGAAAAAATTATTTTAATAATCAAAATTAAAAAATAAATCTCAAATTTTGGTGCTCTTTCACAAGCCTATATTCCAATTAGTTAAACATTCTATTGTAAATACACTATCTTCTAGCTTACCAGCAAGAACCACTTGACTTTGGAATGCTTGTCTTATTCAGCCATATAACAACTTTGGTAAGCTATTATTGTTATACTAATACAGCTTGTGTACCCCCAGTACACTCAGCTGTCCTCAAAGAAAATTATGTTTTCTATGTTTTATGTAAAATCAAAAAAAACCATTACATTGAGTTGGTAATTTTGAATCTATCAAACTGATATTTTGTTCAATATACGGTGTAAGGGAAACAAACATGTTATTTTGTTCTAATTGTATTATAGAGATGGTTGATTGATTATATTTTCTTTTGTTTTTGTTTTTATTCTTGTAGAAATTGTTTCAGTATCTTTTGCTTAAATAGATTAGCTTCGCCATCACAATGTACGATATATATATATATATACCTAACAATCTATATTACCAACTTAAATAGCTCCAAGTTGCCACCATATGAGTGAAAAGAAGCTTCCATGAAGATTAGATAAGCCTTCCCCTTTTATTCTGTCCGCTTGTATTGTATACTGAACATGGAAGGACGTAACACAGACTGATCCTGCAGTAACAAGACATTCACAGAACTGGACGGTGATGAGGACTACTTGGTACGTAAAAAATCAAATGCGTTTGTCCCCTGATAAATAAATGAAGGGATATTGATCAGTTTGGCAACACGAGCATACACGGTCGCCTTTACTACTCTTTTTGAGACACTAAGGACAACCAGAAGCATGCTTTGAGATGTTGAAAATCATATCGTTCACACCTATACAGCCCTTTACATGAAAACCCGAAACCTTTCTATAAGCCATATGACTCATCTAAGCTACCTGGGTGACCCCAAATTGCTTCTCGAGGGGGACGAGCAGGCTGCTCTCGCCCCATTGGAAACTGCCAAAAATCATCCGAGAGTGACGATTGAAAGAAGAGCAGGAAGAGCAGCCCTGAAAATGCGATCATTCCAAGGAGCATCGCGTATAACTGCCATTCTGCTCGCCAGAAAATAAACAATGAGTAGCAGGATAAGCAAGTGATTGAACTGTTATCCAGTGCAAATAATCAGATATCATATCCCTAATCTAGCAGCATAGTACCAAGAATTTAGTAAGTGGGTCATCTCTGGTGATTAATGCGAGACCAACACAGTGACACCGACTCCGTTTTGATATGAACAACTCAAAAGTTTCAGCCTTTCACAAGATAGAGAGTATACATCAGAAACAATGAACGAAAATTACTCTGATAAAGGGCATCCAGTCACTCTTCGCAAGAGGATGAAGATGGGAAATTACCTTTCCATTCGAACTTTTTCAAGCGACTAACCCGAGCAGAAGAATCTGCTCCTAATGATAATAGTGACCTAGAATGATACCACACAATCAGATCAGCTGGGTCGCCAGTGAGGTTTCTGACATATGCATTGTGTTCTCTACATCCACTCCAAAGGTAGGAAAAGCAGCACTTTATTACACCAGATTAGGAACACTTTCACCATCTTAGAACTATATTGAAACAATGAAAATGATAGTAGCTGTACTACAAGCAAGCACAAACATATGCACTAGAACAATTCGACAGGACTTTATATGTACCTTCCGTGTTTGGAAAACTCCAATCCCGTAACAGATAAGCTGTGGGCGCTTCCAATTAGCTGAGTTACTTCCATTCTCCTTACTAGCACTACAGCTACATCACCTTCTATAGTCCCCCTGCACATTCATCTCATGAAATATCTCAAAATTTGTGATAATTTGTTGTGCCTGAAAGAAACGAAATAGCCCGCCAATTGAGCATGTACTTTTATGCAAGAAAACCCTTCGGCACACCTGAATATCAATAAAGGTATGCTACTCATCCAAGGACCAGAGATAAATAATAAACAGAATTGTCATGCACATTACGAATGAAACTGAAGCAACGGCCAACACGAATACTCGGACAACCGTAGAAGTGATGGATACGATTAACTTACAAGCCCAGAGATTTTCCATCTCGAGAAATGGCCAGAGCTGAAATGGAGGCATCAGCTAACTTTTTTAAGCCAAGTTTGCTCCAATCCATCATATTCCATACTCCAACATAGCCCCTTTTACCTGCATGAGTTAATTCAAGTGTTATCTATGTAAGCTACACCAAAACGTAACATAATTGGAGCATTTAGATGAGCAGTCGATCACACACTTGTATTCAGGCAACGGTATACACAAAAAAAACACATTATCGAAAGACTACATAGCTTACCCCTCGTAATTGAAACAAATAAGAAGGCTTGTGTTCCATCACGTGAAAACCTGCAGTAACCAAATTTCTCATCCTGCCATAAAAAATGATATTGACACGAATCAGCCATAAAGATAGCAGAGAACGTAAAACAGAAATAACCCCAATGTAGAGATCAGTACAGGTGCTGGCCACCACGGTACACCAAGTCACACCAAGTCATCCCTGATTCCAAAACCAAACAAAATTTTCAAATCTATGTCTATTTCGACTGTAAAACATGTGCCAGAAACATAAAACTCACCAATATGCAATGCCAAAGAAACATCCCACAACATTAACACGTCAAGCGAAATCCCTTGAAGTCTTTTAGAATGTGCAACAAACAGAAACTGACAACACTAACGTTTAAAAACATAGTTATTCAATGTCCAAGAATGCCAAACACACCTTCTCACGCTCCAACCGAACCAAGGATTCTAGTTCTACAATGTTCCACACACGACAAGCACCTTCCTCACCAGTAGATGCCAAATATCCTGAATCCAAACTGAGACATGTCACAGCCACCTTGATCAGATAATAATAGACATTGGATAATCAGAAATACTCAACTAATTATGTCATCCTGGCCGGCAAGGAAGTCGAAACGTAAAAGGAAGTAGGCATGTTACCTAAAATCAATATCTTGAATTGAACGATGTGACTGAGATTCATCGAGTGCAATCTCGCAACTGGGCCAAGCAAAAATTCGAAGATGACCATCCTGTTTATAAACATAGTTGCACAAAGTAATGCAAAAGCCACAGATGAAGACAATTTTACGCAGCCTTGGCAAACCATGACAGCTTAAAGTCTTATTAATTATTAGTCCTAACTGCCTCCAATACGTATTTTGGAGTTAAAGACTCCGTAAACGAACCAAGGAAGCTACTTCTGTACGCTTGGTGTCACATACAAAGAAACTTGAGCAGATTGCACCTAAGCACGAGTATGCCCCAAGTGCACCAAGCATTATCCCTGGTGCTTGGTAAAATCCACTGGGGCGGAATCAGTAGCAACAACATCAAAAATAGTTATTTGAATTACCTTGCCACCTGTGGCTAACAAGGAGCCATCTCCGCTAAAACATATGCAGTTCTGGATTCCAAGCCCCTGTAAAAGAGGAAGCTCGCGCTCAGAAGCTTTAAGCTTACATGCACCCTTGGGATTTATTTCAAAGAACCTGTAGAGTTTTCACACATTATTGGTGTTTCGGTGCTAAATGTTCTTCGGTAATACGAAAATGATAAAAAAAAATAAAAAAATAAAAAAATAAAAACTTTTATTAGCAACAATTTCTAGCCATGATTAAAATGCAGGATGACAAGTGAACTTGCATTTCAACTAAGGATAAAAGCGTCGCCTCATAAGAAACGGAAGTAAATGACAGCAAGTTGACACCCTATATCATAAGGATTGATATATTTTATTTTTAACAGAAGAAGAAGAGGAAGCCGCCTAACAAAAGTAAAAACTTGCAACTTGAGGACAAACGAAATAGAAAAAGCTTACTTGCAACTATTTGCAAAAAAACAGATTACTCCATCTCCACTTGGATGCACTGCAAGTCGCAAGGGAAGACCGTCTTCTGGAGAGATCGAATAAATCTACAAAAGCACCCGAAAATCAGTGCTTAGAAAAAAATTGGAAATTCATTTCACACGTTCATGCAGTATCTCTGGAATATACCAAAGCCATACTTGCTTCCATGTCTTTACCCTCAAGACCAGCTTGTAAGACTAGACAATCTGGATTTAAAAAAAACCGTTCTCACATTCTGACAATCACAAAATCTGAGCAAAATCTCCTGAAGATGACGCAATTTAGCCAAGCATTTTCTTTCCTGCAGTTCGGTAACAAATTCGATAATCGTATCTACAACCTAAAACCCCGGTTCCATGCGTCTGCAAATAATTCTTGGCAGTGATCAAGCACTCAATTCACATACAAGAGTCGTTGTTGTTTAATGGAAACACAAGCTTAACCCACAGCACCTACGGTGTTCTCCCAACGTAGTAACTCTCTTTGATTGAAGCAACTCCGACTACAAATCATTCCGTGAAATAAAGCAGCTGTTACCATAGTCTCACACATTCAATACACTTGGATAAAACCCTGACACGTGCGCAAACATGAACCAAAACCAGGACGATATGTCGACTGATCGGGTCGTTGCGTTCCTCACTGCCACATTGCAGTCCCCAATGCACACACGAGCATAGCAACGATTCTAATAACTAGCAAAACGAGAAACGCTTACAATGTCGGAGATGGTGTCAGAATCGAAATTATACTCCCGAAGGGTGATTGCCTTCGACCATTCTTCATCATCCCGGCCCAAGAGGACAAGAGCCGACGGGGAATCTGTCACACTCCCTGCCCGAGGTGCCCATGCCCCGCAAACTGCCCCAGAATCTTCATTCCTCGTCGTGGGGCGTGTATACTTCACCCTCCGTTGCCCATTCATCGTGTTCCTTCTCTCAATCCACACGCCAAAAACCCTAATACCCAGAAACCAACTTCGAAGTTTTCCTCCGAAACTTGAAAAGCAAGATCAATCGCATGAACACATAAACCCCCACCACGCTATGCCAATCAACCCATGAGCATAGTCCAAGAGGCAACAACCGGGAAACACGCACGGGGTGCTTCTTCGTGAGTGTCCTTTTTTCCTTTGCCTCCGACCTCGGCACCCAATCCCCAATCAGGATGCATTCTTTGATTCCGATTAGTTTCCGGGCCACGTTTGCAGGATAGCCGGAGGGGGAGAAATCGTGCACTCGGCGCATGCGTCTCGAATATGCGAGAGTACATTCCTTGTTGAGCCACGGCACTCCTCTGGCAGAGCAGCTCGGTCACGTCTCTCGGCTACTTTCCGTTTGTGACTGGCAGGGACTTCCTTCTATGAAAGTTTTTTGACTCAACCAGTAACAAAGCACCGAAAAACGTTTACATTCTAATGTGCATATACACAAAAATACTTACATGCACTCGATGAAAAATCAAGCATCATAGAATTAGTGGAAAAAGAAAAGAGAAATGTAAATAGGTAGATAGATAGAGAGAGATAAGGTGGTGTTTCAAGGCAATAAATTCTGCTACTGAGGGACAAAACTTTAACATTGTTTATTCCTTTTTCGGGTTGTTCTCCTTTTCCTCTGTGGGGTGTGGTGTATTTTTGTTGACAGTTACGTGAAATTCGAGGAAAAAAATTACATTACGAATGACGCAAATTGATCCGACAGTTCGATACTCCCCAGCTATTCTAAACTTAGAAGCGGCCCTTCACATTTCTAAACATACGTGCTCCGTTGCGTATTCGGCATATTTACGATTAAGCGGCAAAGGGGACAAGCATTTTGGTCGGAAAAAGCAGATCATCAAATACTTTTTCATCATACAGATGCGAATAATTCCTCATCCTCAGAGCATTGGCAAGGATCAAGATGCCTGACGATGCAGGGTTAATGGAACACACGGAGCAGCTCACAGAAACCACGACACCCGAGCCTTCATCTTCTCGAAGATTACGGGCCATCTGCCGAACTTGCACCCATCTGCCAAAGGTGAATGGAAATGCCGCCCCGCCTGGTGGGGAATATGTTGCCACATCACATGAAGACTGAACACAGAAAGCCTCTTCTCAATCGCATTGTAAGGATCTCACTTACAACAACACACTGCAAATCATCCGGCCTAAGAATGTAGAAGAGCTGGTGCCAGCACAATATCCAGCTTTCCGATCATGGATTGACACAGCGGGGACGAGGAATTAGGGCTTGCATAGAGTATGAGATGGTTCATCATGAACGGCAGGAACTTACATTTTCTTTCCAAATGTGACTCACGACTAGTAAACAAGCAGCAGACACAGTTTTTGCCCCACTGAATTTCAGGTTTTCGTATACAGCAGTGATGGTCGGAGGTTTTACTGCTCACAGGGGCTTCTCAAAATGTGAGCTGAACAGTAACGACCAAGATCACTTACAGCTTCACTTACAGACGGGTCGCAACAAACTTAACACTGGAGTCAATGAGACTTCACAAACATGTATGCAGCGGAACACAGCTAGACGCACAACATCGTCATCAAGCACGCACAATGCACCAGAAAAATTGATCCAAGCCAAAGCAGAGGGTCTACAAAGAGCAACCTACTGCATGTGAGAATCGGACAGAGATGAGACCAGGTAAATCGGTCGTCACTTCGCGGTGATCGACCTTTGTTTCTTCAAAGTCAAAAAAACGATCAGAAGCTTACAGGATTGCAAATTTTTAACCCTACATGTACAAACTTCCCGGTATCGTGAGATCTACGCCGACTTGAAACGTCTGGGCGTTGTCAAGCGAGAAGCTCACGTACGCATCCCAGCATTTCTGAGCGCTTAACATACTGTACAGATGAACCCTCCTCGCAGGGAGCAACCCTTTAGGTTTATCTCCTCTAGTCACACGAGGGCTTCTCTCTGAAGATTTCATAAGACATCAAACATCGACAAACCCTAGGCTCCGAGGAACAAGCTGAAACTGAAAGCTACTCGTGTCTGAGATTGACACACCCGGGGCATTGAAAGTCGGAGACTGGTGAACAGCTCTCGCAGCGCCACAAACTGTGATCACATTTCAAATGCACAGGATGTCTGCGCAAGGCTCGTAAACTGGCCATTGCCAGCTAGAGTTCGCCACTGCGCTTTACATGAGCCTTGAGCTGGGAGTAGTCTCATGGATCTGAAAGTCGCGTCGTCGTTCTTCTTAGCAAGCCCCATGATTATAAGAGAGTTTCCAGAGGCGGTGATGGTTAAGGACTTGAGCTCCCCGCTCTCAGTATCCTCCGGCACTTTCTCCACTGCTGTCCACGTATTCTGCTGTTGGGAATAAACAACAACCTCCTTGCCACGGATGCTATACAAGCGGCCCGCTAAGGCGACCAGAGAGCTCGGATTTGCTACAGCAGGTTCCGTGGATATAAGTGGCCACATGTTGTCAACAAAGCTCCATGATTTGGCACGAGAATCGTAAACCTCGGCACTCTCGCAGAAGGCGCCCTGAGATTCACTGCCATAGCCGCTCAAGACTAAGAAGCTGTCGCCCAGCACCACTCCTGTGCACTCATCCCGCTCCTCTCTCATGCTGCCCAAGCTCTCCCAGCAGTTCGCTTCAACATCGAAGGTTTCCACAGATGCCAGAGCTTTCTTGTTCTCATCGTGACCGCCCGCGACAAACACTTTGTTGCCGATAGCTCCACAAGCGAAGAAGTTGCGGACATTCACCATGTCGGCTCCCCTCCTCCACGTCTGAGTGCTGAAATTGTACACGAACACAGACTTCGACGGCTCCCAAGTTCTCAGCCACCACCCACCCAGCACCACGAGCAATCCGTTCACCGCAACGAGCCTGCAACACGTCGGCAATCCTCCCACGAGGCCCGGAACCGCAGGCAACCGACTCCAAATCTGCTCATTCACATCGAGAAGACTGACCCCATGAACGGGATCGGGAGAGCAGACAGCTCGACCAGCAAAATCCTTCTCCGGCACAGCCTCGCCGCCGCACATCGGCATCGGCTGCAACATGCACACGAACGACGAGGTCGTCCCTTCCGCCTTGCGCAGCTCGTAATACTCCCGGCTTTGAACCAGATCTCGAAACGAGCTCGACACTCGCTGCAGATTCGCGTGCCATTGCAACGGCACCCTCACTAAACACTCGACAAACAAATCATCGGGCAATGCCTCGATCAACCCAGCTGAGCTACAATCCACTCCGCCACTGCTCGACTCCACCATGCGATTGTACTCAATAAAATTCGCCATAACACCCCAAAAAACACCAACTCTCACCGAAAGCCGCCTTAAATCTTCCCTTGCTCACTACCTTAAGTTCACGCAATCCCACCCAATCATCGCGAGCTGCACAAGCGAGGCTGCTCCTGCTGCTGCTGGAAAATGAGCTAAGGGCAGTTGTCAAGGCGGGCGCAGATGTAAATATAGATCTGGGATATGATGCAGGTGATTCTTTAATTATTTTAGTATATAACGAACTTTTTAAAACTCTTTGCGATGTATTTTATTCTTAAATCTTGTGTCTAAAGTTCATCAAACCTTGAAAATAAAATAAAATGAATATACTTTTAAATTAACCAAGATTTTACTACCCTCGAGTCTTGATGAATGGTGCTAGTTTTTTTGCTCTATTATTTGTAAGCATTGAGTTTTGGAATGGATTTTTTTCTATGTGAGTTAGTGTCGTGTGATGGTTTTTATGGATGTGGGCATGGTTGTTGTGTCGTATAGGACCAAACAAGCACTTGTTTGAGGTAAATGGAAATTGCTAATTGTTGATGTTAAGTGAATTAATACCTCACTCATAATTACAAGAAAAAAAATAAGAAGACAAATTTAAAAATAATAAGATCCTTGTTGCTTCTTATAACATTGAGTTACATTATAGTGTTAATTTGATTTCATTGTTTTGCATCACATTATGTGTAAAACTTGGAAGTTGGTCAATCCCATTGTCAATCATGATACATTGTAGAAAGTTTGATAGTTCTTGAAAATGAGTCTTTATACTTTATTTTCTATGACAAGAAAAAAATTCTTGACAATTCTTGCACTCAAAATACAAACATTTTATTATGTTATCATGCATTTTTAGTAACATGTGTTGAAGTACCATAATTTGTGCACAAAAATACAAAGCAAAGTATTGTTCTTTAGAATGAGTACTATTGTGTGAGATTTATTGGAACATTGCTCACAAGTGTATAAATCGATTATTTTAAAAAATAAAATAAGAAACTAATGGAAAATCACAAGATAGTTGCATGAAGAAATTTTTAATAAACAATAACTACAATTTTGAGGAATTATTATACATGTTAGGAACATAGTCCTTAGAACCTTCTAGAGACAAGTCTTTGGAACCTTCTAGAAGCTTCTTAGTTGGTAGAAGATGTTAAGGACATAGTCCTTAGAACCTTCTAGAGATAAGTTTCTAAAACCTTCTAGAAGCAAGTCTCTGGAACCTTCTAGAAGCTTCCTAGTTGGTAGAAGTTGCTTGAGAAGCTTCCTAAATAGGAGTATATATTGGAATCGAGGCTGAAGAGTTCTTCAGTCTCGACAACACATCTCTTGGAGCTCTAGCTCACCTCTCTAGTATTGTTCTTGTATTCATCTCATTAATCTAGTTCTTGCCAGTTCTTCTTGAACTTCTTGGTAGATATCAAGTCTGTATTTCTGTGTCTGTGATAGTTTGTCGAGACTTCATTCACCTCAGATATCAGAGCTAGTTTCTTCTTTGTTAGAGTGTGGATTACCCCTCTGCTTGGAAGTGTACTAGCACTTTAGAGGTTGTGGATTACCCTCCTCTAAACTGATACTTCTTTTGTTACAATATTGGAGTCTTATTCTTCTTGGAGAGAGTGGATTATCCCTTTTCTTGAAGTTCTTAAGGCATTTTAGAGGTTGCGGAGTACCCTCTTCTAAATCAATATTGTCTTCTTATAGAGTCATTCCTGTCCTTCTCTTAGAATGGTCGGGGGGCCAAGACATTAGTATGACGGAAAGTTCAGAGTCCAAGTTAGATGCTATCATGAATGCCCTCGCTACGTTATCACAAAGAACTGCAGAGATTGAAGGAGTCGTGGCAAGGCTTGATAATGATGGAGCATCTGGGATGGTACAATCTAGGTTGCACCAGCTTCAAACTTCTACACTTGGAGAAGCAACTTTGCCTCAGGTTCGACAAGCACCGCTGGTTCTATAACATAAGGAACCCCGAGTTAGCCTTCCGGACAAGTTCGATGGTACACATTCCAAGTTTTGAGGATTCATCAACCAAATCAAGTTGATAACAGTTTTACAGCCCGAACGCTATCCAACGGAGGAGTCACGTGTTGGGCTTGTTGGAACCTTACTTACAGGACAAGCTCTATCATGGTTTGCTCCTTTGTTTGAGAAACGATCGTCCATACTAAACAACTTTGAAACCTTTTTGGAGGCATTTGCGAAAGCATTTGGTGAACATGACAAGGTTCGATGGACTACAACAAAGATCCGGTCACTACGACAAGGGATGCGTTCTACATCAGTCTATGCATCGGACTTCAGGCAATTAGCATGCGACATCAATTGGAACGAAGAAGCGTTGATGAGTCAATTCTATTGAGATTTAAGGGACGATGTGAAGGATTTGCTGTTAACTCTTCTTGATCCGCAAACGTTCAACGAAGCTATTAGCCAAGCTGTGAAGTGCGATAACCGCCTATTCCAATGTCACCAAGACCAACGTTCAAGACAACATACGGTTCGCCACACTCCAACTATGTCGGCAAGTAGCATGAGTTCACATTCAGAGGTAGAAGACATGCAAATTGATGCGGTATGTGTCACATCTCTTACTCTAGAAGAAAAAAAGCGGCGTATGGAGGAAGGTCTATGCTTGTATTGCGGTGAAGAAGGCCACAAAGTTGGAAACTGCCTCAAGAAGCAAAATCGACGTATTATCAAGACTACGAGTGCATTTATTCAAGAAAATGAAGATGTCCAACCACAATAGGAACCGTGCGGCTGGACAATGAAATATCGCAACAACAACCAGGTTCCTTTCTTTCCGCTCAACCTGTCCTTTGTTTTACAATCCCTTTGCTTATTGGCCCTTAGAAACTGCAAACCTTAGCATTATTAGATTCAGGAGCATCTGCTTGTTTCTTAGACGAAGAATTCGTAAGGCGTCATAAGATCTCTTTAGTACAAAAATCCAAACCTGTTCACGTTGAGGTCATAGATGGGCGACCTTTATTGTTTGGTAGTGTCACCCATGAATCAAAACCTATAGAAGTGACGTTTAAGGACCATAGTAGACATATTATTTTCAATATTATTAGAACCCCATCAAATCCTGTTATTCTTGGTCTTTCCTGGTTTGAAAAGCATAACCCATCCATAGATTGGAAGTTGCCGAAGATGACCTTTCCCACAAAACCATCCAAGAGCAAGCCTAATAGAAAACCCCGAATAGAGAAATCCTTATTTTTTGGAGCAAGAGCGTTTATAAGATTGTCCAAGGGAGGCACACCGTTTGTCATTTATGCGGCTTCAACTACCGGAGAGAAGATCTCGACAGCAAGTATACCGGAGCAATATAAGGATTTTAAAGACGTGTTTCAAAAGAAAAATGCCGACATGCTACCAAAACACAGACCATATAATTGTGCCATAGACTTACATGAAGGAGCACAACCGCCTTTTGGCCCAATCTACAATCTATCGCAGATAGAGTTGGCGGAGTTGCGGAAGTACATCGACGAGAATCTAGCCAAGAACTTCATTCGTCATTCAAAATCATCAGCTGGAGCACCCATCTTATTTTTGAAGAAAAAAGATGGCTTGTTGCGGATGTGCGTGGACTATCAAGGCCTCAACAAGGTAACAAAGAAGAATCGTTACCCATGACCCTTGATTTCTGGTCTCTTAGAACAATTTGGATGTGTAAGGATCTTTACAAAAATTGATCTAAGGAGAGCTTACAACCTCGTACGAATCAAGGAAGGAGATGAGTGGAAGACAGCGTTCCGTACAAGGTATGGCCATTTTGAATATAATGTCATGCCCTTTGGTCTTACCAATGCTCCAACTGTCTTTCAACATATGATGAATGACATTTTCCGAGAGTACCTTGACAATTTTATTGTCATCTATTTGGATGATATTTTGATATTCTCTAAAAATGAGGAAGAGCATGAAAAACACGTTCGTTTGGTATTGGAGAAACTACGCGAGCGAGGACTATATGCCAAGTTGGAGAAGTGTTTATTTCACCAAATAGAGATGGAGTTTCTAGGGTTCGTTGCGACTACGAAAGGCTTGAAGATGGATCCCAAGAAGGTGGAAGCAATTGTGTCTTAGGAGGTTCTGAAGACGGTTAGAGACGTACAATGCTTTCTTGGTTTTGCCAACTTCTATCGGATCTTTATCAAGAATTACTCTCAAGTTGCTGCTCTTCTTACTCGGTAGACATGCAAGGATAAGCTGGAATGGGGACCTCTAGCAGAGAAGGCGTTTCAAAACCTGAAGATCGCATTTACTACGGCTCCAATCTTGGTAAATCCAGACTTTACAAAGGCCTTCTATTTAAAAACAGATGCTTCGGATTTTGCTTTGGGAGTTGTACTTTCACAAATGGAAGAAGACAAGAAGCTCCATCTGGTTGCATTCAATTCTCGAAAGTTCTCTGCTGCTGAAATCAATTATGAGATCCACGATAAGGAAGTTCTTGCTATAGTGGATTCTTTCCAAGAATGGCGTCACTTTCTTGAAGAAGCTGCACATCCAGTGACCGTATACACAGATCATAAGAATTTGGAGTATTTCATGTCGGCTCGAGTTCTAAATTGACGTCAAGCTCGATGGAGTATGTTGCTATCTAGGTTCGATTTTATTATCACTTATCGACCTGTAAAGCAGCAAGGACTATTTGATGCCTTATCAAGGAGATCGTATCTTGTACCATAGGCTGGAGATGCAGCGTTTGATCAACAATGTACGATATTGTTGAAGCCAGAGTAATTTCAACTTTGCGCCACTATTATGCCAATTGATGCTGACTTCCTGAATCAGGTAGTGCTGTAACCATTGAAGATTCAGTAGCCATTGATATTAAGCAGCGTGCCAATGACGACAAGTTTAAGGTGGAGGGAGATCTTTTATACTTTGAAGAGTGGTTATATATCCCAAAAGGACCAACACGACTCTGAGTTCTTCAATCTTACCACGATTTTCCAACTACGGGACATTTTGGATTCAACAAGACCTTGAAGCTTATTTCTTGAGATTTTTGGTAGCCCCAAATGTGGAAGGATGTGAAAGATTTTGCCCTCTCCTGCGACATCTGTTCAAGATCCAAGAATCCTCGGCATCGCCCTTATGGACTCATACAGCCATTGCCGATTCCACGTCGACCATGGTCT